ATTCAGCTGGTGCATTATTTTGTATGACCTCTCTTAGATTTATTCTTCCCCCTTAAGTGACAAACAGGTTGAATTCTTGCTTCGTGGGCAAGCTGAGAGCAGGTGCTTGAAATAAGGCCCCCTTTAGTGCTTTAAATATTTTAACATGCTCTGTTTCCCATATTAAGGTAGTTGTTCCTTGGTATAGTTTCTTTAAAGAGGCTATAAAGAGGCTTAGCTAACTCCATACCAGGGATTCAAAGCCTGCAGTATCCAGTTATCTCTAAGAAACCTCTGAGTCGTCTTATGGTTTAGGGGAGAGGGTATTGCTCTACAGGGGCTGTCCTCTCCTAGCTTGCAGATTCCCTGAGACAGCTCTAATCCTATATATTGAACCTGCCACCCAAGACTTAAGGCTAGCAGCTGTGCTAATCGCATTTAAATGGCTGATGGGTGCCCAGAGTTATCCTCCAGTAGGAAAAAAAGCAGAATGATGTAAGATGCAAGGGAACTTAACTTTAATGATGAGACCAGGCAGGTCCCCAGGTGATACCAGTCTGGTGGAAATTGGGATCAAGATTGTGTTCTATGTAAAGAATGAACACCAAGAATACAGAGGTAAGCAAGCAAGTTTTATTTAAGAAAGCAATAAAGAACAGATTCCTCCAGAGAGGAAGGGACTTCAGAACTGAAATCCCACTGGGGGAAAAAGGGCTTGCAACTTGCTTTCTTATAGCTCTCAGAACTTCTTTCTTTCATTAATCATTGTTTTCCCTTTCTTCCCCATATATGTGCCTAGAAGCACAAGTGTGAAGGTTAACTGTTAACAGCCCTTTGTTCTCCCTTTGATAAACAGTCCTCACCTTTTTGACTATTATCATTCTCATTCTCACCTACACTGGCTTCCTGAACTTTTCCCTACCTCACTATTACTCCTCCTTCTGTCTCTACTGATTTTGAGTCTATTAAAGTCTAAGGCTCTGCCACTTATAAAGCCCCCACCAGTGAAACAGGAGCTCAAAGACTCCGTCCTCTTAAGTCTATTGTTGCTGTGACATATAAGCCATACAAACCATGATACATTGGCTACACAGATGATTGGATCAGAAGCTGATGCGCAACCAAAGGGCAAAAAAGAGTCTGGGCTTGCAATGAACAGGAAGACCACAGGTTCTTGCAGCAGAAGGGCCAATAGGCATGCTCTGCAGATTATAGTGAGAAATTGACCGATCACATTCTTCTTCTTAGGCATCTGACAGAGAGATAATCACTGGAAGTACCATTATTTTGTTTCTCTAAATGTCTGTTGCATAGCTTAATTTTTGGAAATTTCATTTCCAGAATAATTAATAACTAAAAAGGCTACAATGGTTTACACTTTTTGGCCCTTCATGGTTTTGTGCAGCTTTGCAACAAACGTCTAAGTAATCCTTGGTTAGATGCTTCCTTACAACCAAATTGAGCCTAAATAATGTAAAGTAATTACAGATTTATTAACTACCTATGTCCAAGGTCCCAAAGACCTGTTCAGGGAGGATTCATCGGCCTCAGAATAGTCTCAAACTCTGCTGCAATTCTTTACAGAAAGAGGTTACAAAGCAGATTTCATAAAGACAAAAGGTTTATGGGATGAATTGAGGGGAAACCAATCTGAAACTTCCCAGAGTGCTCTCACAATAGAATTACAGAGGGTATAAACAAGCATTTGCATTATGTGTGTTTAAAAGGGGGAAAGGCAAAGCCCTAGAGGCTAGATTGGAATATGACTACAATATTTAAAGAAGAAAGGGTAGTCAGTTTTATTCATTTGGGTGTCCAAGAAGTGGTCAGAGGGTTGAGAATGTAGCTCAGTGGTAGAGCACTTTCCCAGCACATGTGAGGCCCTGGGTTTAATCTTCAGTACTGCAAGGGGAGGAAAAGTGGCAAGAATTAATTTATCCCTGCTTAAATATGAAGGAAAAAGAAAAAAAGCTCTGAGTACCACATTTTCAATAAGACACATTCATGGAAATCTATGAAATATACTGGCTGACAGGATTAACTGTACTACTTGCTTCAGATGACAAAAACTAAAATATATCCTCAGGAAGAATTAAAATAAAAAATTGTGCTTGTAGATTAAAATACAGGCCTTGTTGATGGCTCTTACAGGTTTATCTTCTCAGTTTAGAAAGCTGAAACGATACTCTGGCAAGATTTCTATTTGGAGCTGGCCATGGTAGTACATGCCTATAATCCCAGCCCCTCCAGAGGCTGAGTCTAGGAAGATTAGATTTAAGGCCAACTTTGGCATTTTAGCAAGATCTTGTCTTGAGATAAAATAAAATAAATATTATAAATAAAGGAGATGTATCTCAATAGAAGTGTACCCCTATACCCAGTTTCCATCCCCTGTACCATATGTAGAAAATAATGGGAGTGTAGTTAGGTCTCAGACAATTACTCTGAAAGGGAGACTGAAGTTAATGATGTGGTTTCAGTCTAGGTTTGCAGTTCCCACTGCCATACTTGTCCCTTATATTAGAACCCACTCTTCACTGGTTCCTGCCTCCAGGCTAATCTACAATGATCAGGAATTTATCTCCTGAGTTTCTTCTAAGACCTAGAGAAAAAGCACAATTAAAATTTCATTGATTAATTATTCTTTTAAATATCTTTGTTTATTAATTTATTTTTATGTGGTGCTGGGGATTCAACCCAAAATCACATGTGCAAGTCAAGCATTCTACCACTGAGCTACAGCCCAGCCTTCATTGATTAATTACTCTTGATTCATTATTACTTCTTACATAAGCTTAATTACATTTAAATAATAAAATTTTAAAAATTATTTCTTTTGACCAGATGCCAATATAAGTTTGTATCCTTTTTAAGCCAATAAATATATTGCTATCTGAACAACCTCCAGGGCTTCTGTCACTTTCTAAGTAAAGAGAAAATCATTTGCAAAGGATGATTCTTAAACATGTTTTTTAGCCTACCCCTTGATTTAGAAGATGAAGCAAACCTATAATAATTAATCCTACTCAGAGTGCTTACTAAATTTTACTAACTAAACTTTAATTTATTCCTTTGAATTCTTCAACTTACTAGCCAACAAATTCTCCTACATGTTTATTATCTATTTTATCCTTTAAAATGTGTGCGCTTGTGGGCTGAGGTTATGGCTCAGCAGTATAGTGCTCAACTATACTGGCCCTGGATTTGATCATCAGCACCACATAAAAATAAATAAAATAAAGGTATTGTGTCCAACAACAACTAAAAAATATTTTTAAAAAATAAAAAATAAAATGTGTGCCCTAGAAGAGCACACAAAAGCATCACAAAGAGATCTAATTTCATAAATGGACTTAACCTAATGATAATGACTAGTGGCCTTCATTGACACATATTAAAAAAAGAAAAAAAAAGCTGACTTTAATTTTGTATACTATTTTTGTCAGCTTTTTCACTGCTGTGACTAAAAGATCTGACAAGAACAATTTTAAGTTGGAAAAAGTTTATTTGGGGGTTGACAGTTTTAGAGGTCTCAGTCCATAGACAGCGGGATCCATTCCTCAGGGCGCCTAGTAAGGCAGAACATCCTGGCAGAAGAATGTGGTGGAGGGAAGTGGCTCAAAACATTACACCAAGAAGGCCAGAGAGAGCTCTGCTCATCAAGCACAAATATAAACCCCAAAGGCCACACCCTATCTGCCTACAGTTACCACTCAGTCCCACCAGGGGATTAATTCGTTGATTGAGTTAAGGCTCCCATAACCCAATCATTTCACCTCTAAACTTTCTTGCATCATCGCTCACATGAGATTTGGGAGACACATCACATCCAAACCATAAAATACACCATCTCAGAACAACAAATATATTTCGAGTATTTTTAGATCATTGAACCAAACCACATACTGACAGTGTATCTTTTAAAATAATTACTATAGATATGCAGATAATCAGAGTCTTGTCCATTTTGAAAATTTTCTTGAACAACAAAAGTATGAGGTGACCTAAAGGGTGAATTAAAAAATACCTGAAATTCCAACTTTGAGTGTTCAGAATCTTAGCAAAATAAACTGCCACTCCAAAATACACAACTTGAGCCATTCACATGGTTAATTGGGAAGTTCTGAAACCTTCCTTCATTTACCTCACAAAGTTTTCTAGTGCCACATTACAAAACCTGAAATCATATGGAAATAACACATACATTCTAAATAAAGGTAGAATGACTTTAATTTTTTTCTGCATAGAAAACTTGGAATTTGGAGCAATATTCATCATTTATAAAACTTTGGAAGAGGAAAAAAGATATAATCAACAATTACAAGTGTTAATGCTATTAATTCCTTTTCAATTTCAGGAGCAAGCCAATGCACATCTTTGCTTACAACTCAAATTATCACCACCTCCAGAGCTCACATTCCATAGAGGTAGGAACATTATTTACATCTTTGGCCCTCACTTTCTAAATCTTTCCCTGGAAAATCCAAGAATCCTCAAGTTTATATGGTCTGGAAAAGATGTTTGTGGTCCTCCAGGGAGTCCTTGTATTTGTTCATCACTGGGAAACTCATCCCTGTCACAAAATGTCACTCTGGAGTGCTGTTCCACTTTTACTTCAAGGTTCTGGTACATAGAAGAGGGATATCTCACAGTCCCATGAAACAAGATTGACTTGAAGCAAATATGGAAACCATTGCTCAAATTATTTGGTATGTGAAATGCCAAGATGGAAAGTATACTATCTTTAAAAAAAAAAATAAAACATGTTGCCAGGAGGGTTATCCATACCAAGGCATCGTTGACTAATGTGAGATGCTATTCACTTAAGAGTAGAAGTCTGGGGCTGGGGATGTGGCTCAAGTGGTGGCACACTCGCCTGGCATGTGTGCGGTCTGGGGTTCGATCCTCAGCACCACATACAAAAAACAAAGATGTTTCTCTCTCTCTCTCTCTCTCTCTCTCTCTCTCTCTCTCTCTCTCTCTCTCTCCTAGAAAGAAGACAAGATAAAGAAAACTCAAAATGGTATTAATCCCTTTATTAGTCTTTCTCTTCTAGGTCTCTCCATAGTACAAATTTTCAACTTAGGCAAAAAATTTTCCCCCCAATCACTATAGTTAAATTATCTCTTCTCAGTAGAACATTGCCCTTATTCCCCACCCAAATTAAAATTGAACCTTCTTTTGTGTATTTTAGACTTCGTATCTATTTTAATCATTGTTGTTTTACACCTTTTAAACTTAACATCACTATTCTTAATAAAAAAGACAATGTCAGAATTAGACCATTTTCTTTCTCTGTGTAACTGTTACATATTACAGTTTTCATAAGCAAATGGTTTAAATGTGTTGTTTTGTTCCAAGTATGCTTTCAAACCTCTTTAAATTACTCTTGCATGCATTCATGAGGATTTAACTAAAATTTGCCTTTTCCCTTTCAGGTAATGATTAGTTATGTTGTTCAACCCTGTCCTTGACTTTGATTTTATGTTACTCTTTCCAATTTGTCTGTATCTTACTTCAATTCTAAATTACTAGAGTTCTCGGTAGACACAGTAGATTCTATAGGTGTATCACAACATGTTGATCACCAAACTATATCTTCCAGGTGTAATTAAAATAAATAACTTCCTTTCTTAAGGTGTTTCTTTCAATTTCTAGTCTGAAAATACTTCTTAGTCTCTGAATTCTCCTTTTGGAGATGTCTGAAATCTCCTTTTTGGATGTCTAAGATATATGTCATTTCTAATGTGCCTTGATCTTTGTGTAAAAACAGCTTTATAAAGTTTAGGGAAGAACTACAATAATCTTGGTCACATTAAAGGCCAATGTGTGTCTAGTGACCATGAATAGAACATGAGCTCAATTAAGTCCATTTAGGTACTTTTCTTTTACCACAACTCAAAGATTTGTGAAAGGGTTTGATTTAACTGTAATTGTGATTTTACTGAATATGATCAAACAGTAGAAGGGCAAGGGAATTGAGGATGTATGCAAAGAAGGGATTTAAATGAAGATCACAAAATTTAAGAAATCAAAATTTGGGAGAAAGAGGGAAAGAGAGATAAAAAGCTCTTGATAGTAGAGTCCAGTGACATATGCCTCTAATCCCAGCGGCTTGGGAGGAGGCTAAGGCAGGAGGATCAAAGCCAGCCTCAGCAAAGGCAAGATGCTAAGCAACTGAGTGAGGTCCTATCTCTAAGTAAAATACAAAATAGGACTGGGGATGTGGATCATTGGTCAAGTGCCCCTGAGTTGAATCCCTGGTAACAAAACAAAAAAAAAAAGAAAGAAAGAAAGAAAAGTAAAAAGCTCTTGATATGAAGGTGTTGATGGTCCAAAGGTCATTTGAACAGGAAATGGATGATGTGAATTGAAAAGGCAGGAAGCAGTACTTAGTGGTGTGGTGAGTGTCTTTGACAAGCTAAAGAGAGCATAGGACAGAGTGGCAGAAAGAGCATACAGGAAAAGGTCAGTGTAAGCAAGAAGGTCACAGAACTGAGAGCCTAGGTTTTGAAAATATCAAATGTTCAGTATTTTAGTCATCAGGACTATTGAGGTGTGTCAGGTCAGTGGTGGTGACTTAGGAAGAAAGCACTAAGCAGCCCATGCAGGCTAAAGAAACATCAATCAAGTGCCCGCCCACGGAAGTCTGTCAATCAGCAGGGTCTCCTGACCAATCCTGGATCTCAGCTAGTTCCTCAACCGACCAACTCCAAAGGGACAAGGGACTCTAAAACCACTTTTTTTTTTCTTTTTCTGTCCCAAACCCTCCCCTTCCTGCCTTAAGCCTCCCAAAATTCCAGTCTGGTCAAGCTCCCATGTGGTTTCTCCTCCAACTATCCTCCTGTCCACTCTGCGGGTCTGATGGAGTTCCTCCAGGGATTGAGCCTCAAAATCTCCTTCAGTGGCCTTTTTAAATCTGCCTCCTTTGGTCGCCTCCATTGTCTGACATTACAAGGTGGGTACTAGAAAAAAAGAGGAAAAGTGTGCCAGAGGTTAAAATTTTTAAAGAATAAGAAACATGACCTGGGGACAAGGTAGATCTCATTATATATATAAAATTTATTTATTTATATATATATATATATATATATATATATATATATATATATTTATTTATATTTTACATTTTTGTTTCACTTGTCAATAGACCTTTATTTTTATTTATATGTGGCGCTGAGAATCGAACCCAGGGCCTCACATGTGCTAGGCAAGTGCTCTACCACTGAGCCACAACCCCAGCCCTGCACATTATATTTAAAATAGTAGTAATTACTTTTTTTTTATTGTCCAGCAGCTCAACATACAATGAGCAGTGCTAGAATGAAAATCTTCATTCCCTTAGATAATTTTATTGAAAAAATTTAAGAAAATATGTCACAATATTAGCAATTATTTCTTTGGTAAGAAGACTGAATGATATGGACTTTCTGTTTAGTACTTTTATGCATTTCCTCAACTCACTACAAATGAGAATGAAATAACTTTCTAATCAGGAAATAATAAGCTAGTTAGAAAAGAAACAAAATAACCCAAAGCTTGTAATATGCCATTGTGGCTAAATTAAGTTACCTGATGATCACAACTTTTAAATTATTGTTTCTTCATTGTTTTAAAAAAATGATTTAATAACAAATTTTATTTATAAATATTTCCATTCATTTTTTCCCCAGGATCTCAAAGACAAATTAAACTTAGCACACTACCAAGCTGTGGCTTGAGCATGAGGTTACATTACCTGAGAATCTCATATAAGTGCTCTGTTTGCATCAAACAGAGAAAATTCTTTCTTAAGAACTTTAAGTCAATTGGCCAACACTAATATATATATATATATGTAATATATATATATGTATATATATATATATATATATATATATATATATATATATATATATATATATATATATATATATGACTTTGGGAACCATATTCTATTTCAATTCTCAAGATTTTTAATGATAAGTTTATGTTCAGTGAATCCAAGTCACAGAATGCTAGTTTTCCTGGTGTACTTTGTACTTTTCTGATCTTTGTAATTAAACCTTAAATGGCTAACTAAATGCTGCTTTCAGAATAATCCTTAGTCTGGCTTTCTAAAACTGTTCTTTAGTTTTTTATATTATTAAGTTTCTTTAGGTAAATTACCATTTTGTTCCTAGCCAAAACTTAGAATAATAAATGGCTGGGGGCATTTTAAAAATATTTATTTTGAATCTGATAACATAATAAAGAGACAGATTTTAAAAAAGTGATATTAACAATAGTAAACTTCATGTCTTTGCACTTCAATCAGAAACTTTCCACCAAAAAAGAATTAAATGCTTACATGAACACTAAGTGCCAATTTTTCTGCAGGGACTTAATTAGAAACTAATCATATATATATATATATATATATATATATATATATATATATATATATATATATATATAAAAAGAACAGTTTAAAGTTTTAACCTGGTAGCATAAAACCAACAAAATTTTCTATACATGATGTCCAGATTAGTAAGAAACTCAGCCCTGTCATGAATTCATTCTGACCCTGTCTCCTCTCCCAGCAAAGACATCCTTTAGGAATTTTTTACATTCCTTCTCTTTGAATTTGCTAGAAGTTCTCTAAAGACTTTTTCAAACACTGCTTCCAATGTGTTGGCAAAATTTGTATAAAGTCAAAGACGGAAGAGAGACTTGAATATCAGAATTTTAGATCTGAAATATTTCTTGTTTTACACGCCAACATTAATCCATGGAATGTAAAAAGTTAGCCAAGTACCCTCTTATAAAGCCCACTCAAAATTACATTCTCTGACAAAAATTCTTCACTTCTCATTGCTATTACTACACCAAATGTCACTGGTATTGCTCTGCAGATGCTTGCTTCTTACAAGTAGCAACTTCTGAATTATCAAGATTCTGAGGCTAACCTAAAAAAAAAATCAAATTTTATGATAGTTTTGCTAAAAGTAACTGGAAGTCTATAATATGTAAGTATATGTATAATTTAAATTTTATTCCAATATGACTTTTTAAATGTCTTCATTCACTTAATTTTCTTAGATAAAAGTCAAATTTGAAACAATAAATTCGTGATGTCTCCTAAAATTCTCTGGGAGACATATTTCTTATTCATGACTTTCAAATTGAGAATACAAAGGGTAACTACAGTAATATCTTGGTGATTAATTTTAAATCCTGTGTTAAGCCATAATTATAGCAAAAAAAAACACAGTGATTGATTTTTATCTTTCAAGTGGGAAAAATAAATGTTGTAAGTTAAGAAACAACAAAGCCATGCAACTTCAGAGCTTTCAACACCACTATTTGCAAGTGGTAAAGATTTCTCATTTCTGAAAAAAAATTCAAGTGACAGTAAAAGAATTTGTCTGGGGTGGGAGCAGATCTGCAAAAATATGTACTTGAATCCTTTGCAGAATATTTCTTTTTTTATTACGAAAACTATTAACACATACTAATTATACAAAAGAATGGGTTTCCCTGTGGCATTTCCATACATGTATAATGTCTGGTAGCAATAACGGTTATGAATAAAACTAAAACAGGGTAAGAAAATAGAGTGTGGGAGAATTGGGTGGGAAAAGGAAGATAGCACCTAGAAGGGAATTAGTGTTACCAACAAGGGTATCTATAACAGTGGCAGCTTCCTTCAAGTGTGTTTTGTACATTGAACATCTATGAAAGGACCATAGCAGAACAGGATAGAATGGCTTCTGAGTACATGGAAGATTCCTAGGTAAACCCTGAAACAACTAGGAAGAATTTGGTGTCCTGGGTGATGCACATGAGAGGTCTGAGCCTCTGAAATTTAAATTATGACCCTTAGCATGACCTCATGTGTGTCCAGCATCTGCTAAGACTTACAGATATATAAGTCCTTAAGATTAGTGGCTAAATATGCATCCCACTCCTAGGTTTATACCCACAGGACTTAAAATCAGTATACTACAGTGATGTAGCCACATCAATATTTATGAAAAAATCAATGACTTTGGGAAAAAAGCTCAATTCACAATAGCTAAATCATGGAACCAACCTAGGTGCCCCTCAACAGATGGATAAAGAAACTGTGGTATATACACAAAAATGGAATATTACTCAGCATTAAAACAGAATAAAATGATGGCATTTTCAGGTAAATGGCTGAAGTTTGAGAATATCAATCTAAGCTTAGTAAGTTAATCCCAAAAATCCAAAGGCTGAATGTTTTCTCTGATATGTGGATGCTAACTCACAATAAAGAGGAGGGAAGAATTGAGGTAATTTGGACTAGACAGAGAGGAGTGAAGGGAGGGGAGGAAGCATGGGGGTAGGAGGGATAGTAGAATTAATCAGACATTTTTACTCTATGTGCATATATGATTACATAACCTGTGTGACTCTATATCATGTACAACCAGACAAATGAGAAGTTATACCCTATTTACCTATTTATGTATGATGTGTCAAAAGGCATTCTACTGTCATGCATAATTAATTGGAACAAACTTAAAAAATATATAGATATAAAATGCCCACACCGTAGTTAAGAAAAACAACTGGAAATATGAAACTGAAACAAAGATCAGAGATCACATCTGAAGATGTAAATTTTGGAGTTATAGAAAGTAGAATTAAAATGATGATGAGAATAGAGCAAATTGAGCAAAGATCAAAGGCAGTGTCTTGAATGTTGACATTTGAAAGAACAGAAAAACAGAAGAGAGAACAGGAAAAAAAAGTAGAATAATTTGAGGGGAAACAAAACAAAAAATAGCAAAAATTTAAAAAGAGACTTTGAAAAAAGCGAATGCATATTCAATAGTGTCAACTCTGCAAAACAAATATATTTTTAGAAGAATTTGTTCAAATGATATAGAGCATCTAAAGAGAAAATCATGAATTAATATGAAAGAATTAAAGCTAAATTCCATGGTGGTATTAAGGGACAGATAAATGAGAATCGTGGCATCACAGATTAAAGATAATGAATCTATAAATTCAGCCTACTGTGCTGATCCTCCACATGATTTCTTTACCAAAAAATAATTTTCTCATAGCCCTGCCTGGCATAAATGTACAGGATATATCACATTATTAAGCAAACTGAGGTGGGGTGAAGGTCAGGCAGTTGGTGTAGGTTATAAATTATGGGAGTCAAGAGAAGATGACTACCGGTTACCAAAGAGAGAATGATGGGTGGTTAACCTCTGTGATCAGGCTTCTGGGCACTCTGGGCTGCTATTAGTTAACCTCATGTCCCTGCCCTTGGTGACATATACAGGGAATATATAGAAGATGATAATTAAAAAGAGGGGTTCGGGTTGGGGATGTGGCTTAAGCGGTAGCGAGCTCGCCTGGCATGCGTGGGGCTCTGGGTTCGATCCTCAGCATATTGTGTCCACCAAAAACTAAAAAATAAATATTAAAAAAATTCTCTCTCTCTCTCTCTCTCAAAAAAAAAAAAAACAAAAAAAACAAAGAAGGGTTCTGGGGTGTATAAAAGAGCAAGATGCACCCCTCCCATGGACATAAAGCTCTGAGGCTCCTTCTCTTCAGAGAAGTCTCTCTGTCCCTTTCTTAGATAAAACTTGCTTTGTATGCTGGTCTTGGCATTTCTGGGGTGTTTAATGTTTAACACCAGGAAATAAGGACCCTTCCTGATCTCAAAGACCAGTATCAGCTGGGGGTTCTCCCAGGATTATCACCAAGGTAAGATCTTCCCCACCTTACATTTTTCTGAAGTGTGTTTTCTGTCTCTTCCTTTCTAGAGGACAATTTTGGGCATCTGTCAGCCAATTAATTGCAATTAAACATGGCTGCCAATCTGGCGAAAGGCTTCACAAGTTTTTGGGGTTCCTAATCATCTGTCCCGCGGGTCCGGCATATTGGCCTCTACAAAAGTTGTTTCTTACTCTTCTATTCTGGCTTGGAGCATGTCTGGCACTAGTAGACAGTGGCCCCTGAT